GTCCAGTAATCCAACTTGAGTTTTGAAGTCCTTGAGGGTTGAGACCTGGAGAGGCGTGATCAGCCAGGTTTGACTTGGTATCCACGTAATGCCACTGGTCTGGCGAAGAGTGTTCTTGAATTTGCTGAACTCTATTGCCAACAAAGATGTGGAATCTTCTGGTCTCGTTCGCAATATAACCAAGCACCACCTTACTGTCGGTCCAAAATACTTCTTTCACTCCTTCATAGTCCAGTTCCCGCTGTAACTGAGTGCATATTTTCACCGATACAACAGCAGCTGTCAGTTCGAGGCGTGGCACTGTTACAGGCTTGAGCGGAGTGACCCTGGCTTTACCCATGAGAAATGAACAGTGAATGCGACCCTTGCCATTTGTCAGCCTTAGGTATGAGCACTGACTGTATCCTTGGGTGCTTGCATCAGAGAAATGATGCAGTTCTGCGCTAGCAATTGGACCAAAGTTTGAGAGTTTGTAACACCGTGGGATTGATAGTTCCTCCAATGAAGGTAATTCTGCTCTCCACCTTTGCCATCTTGCCTTTATGTCTTCAGGAACTGGGTTGTCCCAATCTGTCTTTTCCTTGCAGAGCTCTTGAAGTATTTTCTTTCCTTCCAAGAGCAGCCAGGCCACAAATCCGAGTGGATCATAAATGGAACTGACCATTGAGAGAATACCTCTTCTGGTGCACGGACGGTCCTTTAAAACGATTCTGAACTGGAACGAGTCCTTCTCTATACACCACTGAATCCCTAAGGCGCGTTCCACTGGCAGGGCTTCCTTGTCTAGATCAATGTTCTGAATGCCTTCTGCTCGGTCTTCGAAAGGTATGGCTTTGATAACCTCCTTATGGCTTGAAGTAATCTTGTGCAATTTGAAACCTCCTCTTCTGCACATTTCCTTAGTGTCTTTAATAAGCGTCACCGCATCATGCACTGATTCCATGGATGTCAGTCCGTCATCAACATAGAAATCTTTATGGATGAAGTTTGCTTCCTCTGGTCCTAGATTGGTCTCGTTGTCGTTTGCGGACATCTTCAAAGCATAGTGAGCACATCCTGGGGAACTTGTAGCTCCGAAGAGGTGTACTGTCATCCTGAATTTGGTGGGTTCCTTTGGGGTGTCACCGTTTTCCCACCAGAGGGAGCAAAGAAGGTCTCTGTCCCACTCTGCTACTCCAGCTTGGTGGAACATACCCTCAATGTTGCACATCAGGGCTACGGGCTCCTTCCTGAATCTGCACAGGACTCCCACTAAGTTGTTTGTTAGGTCTGGCCCTTGAAGTAGATGCTTGTTAAATGATTCATTCTGGAATTCTGCAGAGCAGTCGAATACAACCCAGATCTCAGTGGGTTTCTTCGGGTGGTACACACCATGGTGTGGGATGTACCAAACTCTTCCTTCTTCAGAGCAGCCAGGACCTGCCCTTCCACCAGATTCTGCTTCAATGTGAGGAACCTTCTCAGCAAAGCCATTATTGATCACCCTTTCCGTGAACGCAGTGTAATCATCCTTGTACTTCCTATCACTCTTGAACCTCCGTTTCAACTGGATTAAATGGCGAAAGGCGACTTCACGGTTATTTGGGAGAGTTGGGGCTGGCACTCTCAACAGCAAGGGCATCTCGTAGTGGCCATCTTCACAGTGACGAATTCCACTCTCTACAATTGTCAGAAATTTTCTATCCTCTTTCGAAAGGGCTTCTTGGGAAGAGTTATGTTCTGAGAAATCCATCTCGAACATTTTCTTCACTGCATGAGGGTTTATTTCCTCCTTGAACTGGACTTTGGGAACGAAGCTGAGACTTGTCGGGGGGTTACTACCGATCTCGCGAGACATAATTCTATGGCACATTGTGGGCTCCACGTCTTCCTCATCTTCATTTCTTTCTCGCTGCAGGGTGATTGGACCAATGATTCCTCATCCCAGGAGTGTCTTAACTGCATACGGGTCGTCCCCCTTTCCAAGAACAACTTCTCTGGGTTTAATCACTTGTGGGCAATTACAGCCAATTAAGATTCCTACGTCTGTACCACCTTGATAAGGATGCAGCTTATCAGGATGCAGATATCTTCTCAACGCAAATTTCTTCCCTTCCCAGCATCGTGTACAAATTCAGTTTGACCTCGGGGCCCTTTACACCAAGATCACGCAGGGTTTCCAACTTGATGAATGTTGGGTCACTAGCATTGTCCAGGAGTGCGTAGACTAAGACTTCTTTGTCGGGACTGTCTTTGTGATGTAACCACACGGGGACAATCATAGAATTAGTGACACTGAATCGTTGGGTGTGGTTTTCCGCACTTTTGACACGTCAGTCTCTTGCGGCAATTCTTCGAGTAATGACCCTTACTGAGGCAGCCAAAGTAAAGACCCACGGACTGGACAAATTCAAGACGCTCCTTAACAGCCTTCTTGAATTCATCACAGCTGGAGAGATTGTGAGATTTTGAACACATGGGACAAATTATTGATGATGATGAGGTCTTCGAGTCTGGTGTGGGACTGCTGCTCTTTGGAGAGTCACTTGTAGCGGTTAACAAGCTGTTTGAATTCGGCAGACGTCGTCGGTTCCTGTACCTGGGATTCTTGTCCTTCTCAAGGCTTCTGTTGCATTCTGACTTAAGAACATCTGGGGAGAAGACTGGGTCGGTAGCAAGATCAGCTTCTGTCTCCACAAATTTCACGAGATCACGAAATATCACTACTCGTCCATGATTCTTCTTCACATCAAAGGCATGGGGACACCACTTCACTCCTGAATACGAGGGTAGCTTGGAACTGACTTGTTTCAGCACCTCCACGGAGTCCAAATCACTCAGGAACTTCATACTTTGCATAGCTTCTTCACATTGTCCTAAGAAATCCGAGAAAGCCTGAAGCTCTGAACTCTGGCCTTTGCCGATCTGTGGCCACTACTTTAGGCGCGATTTATAAGCATTCGAGACGTGGTGGGGATCTCCAAACTTTTGGGCAAGCAGGTTCTTGGCTCGCTTGTAGCTATCACTGGAGCTGAGAGTTACGAAACCTTTAATAACGTCGTTCGCTTTCCCTGTTGTGTACTTGTTCAGGAAGTACAGTCTTTCTTTATCCGCAGAAACGCGGGTTTCAATGATTGTTTCAAAGGCTCTCATGAATATGGGATAGTCAAAATAATTGCCACTAAAGGTTGGTGGTTCTTGAATTGGAAGGGAACTTATCCTTTGCTCCTTGGCGACGAGGGCACTGAGCTCGGTTTGTTTGGTCTGAAGCTTGACAATCTCTTGAAGTGTGACTTTGCTTGGGCTGGGACTCGCTCTATCTTGTTCTGAGTTAAATAATGATGGTGTGAATGGATTTCCAGAGCCTAAGGATTGGTGTTCCATCTTCACAGGGAAACATGGCGGTTCTGAAGGGAATGGTTTGCAGTGATCTGGAGATACTTTCACTTCAGCTTCTGACTTGACAGGCATTAAGGGCACCTCTGATGGCAGCGTGCTGAAAGGGTTTTTAAGAGTAGAAACTTCAAAGGTAGATAGATGAGGCTGTTCGGATTTTAAAGGTGTGGTGAAGTCCTTTGGCATAAAGGGAGTGGTGTTTGGATTCAATCCACTTCTTTCTTGAATACTTTGGCTAGAAATTTCGCTTTGCTTAGTTGGACTAACGTTTTCTTCATTCTCAAATGCTTTCATACTGTCCATCTCTGCCTTTGCCATTTCCAACTCCTTCATCTTCTTAATCCTTTTCAGCTCTGCCTCCTGGTCTAAGTATTTCATTTCAGCTTCTAATTTAGCGGCCTTGGCTGCAGCCCTGATCTTCCTTGAACGTGCAGAGGAGCCGGACAATTGGGAGGATTTCGTACTAGACGAACGACCTGAGTGTGGAGACTTAACTGACGATTTTTCTTCAAAGGCCTTTCTTTCGATGGCGTGAATTTGGCTGCTGATTTTCAAGCGACATTCACTGAATTCGCAATCTATTAAGTCAAAATATTGGTACGAAGCCTCTCTGTCTTCTTCAGTTTCCATAAGATCGTGGTATTGCTTAAATGCTTGATTCAAATCTTCTTTCAACGAATCGAGTTCTTCTGCTTCAGATGTAAGAATTTCGATATCCCTTTGCTCTTCAAGTAATACGTTGACTTTTTTCATTTGCTTTGCCAATCGTTTGTTTGCTGCATCTCTGTGATGCCTTAAAGTTTCTATCGTGTATTCTTTTCCTTTCTGAGTTAGCTTCCGGTTCCGGTCATGAGAAGAAACGTCACGCGTCACGCCATCGCCTTCTTGCGATTGCGTAATAACTTTTTCGCCTCCACGTGCGTCATGCGACGAGCTTAACAGATTGCTAACGATATCTTTAGTACTTTACACTCATGTTTTCGCCTTAATAGCACATCCTAATCCTTGGAGATGATAAACACGGTGGAGATATTTTACCGTGGCGGCAGCGACGGTCGAGGAATACAGGACGTGGCGCGAATCGGTGGGGGGCGTAGTTTACGGAGAACCAAAGAACCAAACTTGAAGACGGTGATAAACGAATTTATTGTGTCGACGAGGACGGTTCGATAATGCTCGTAAACTGAAGACAACGATTACAAAATACATCCAAATATAAAGCTAAATAAACTAAAAACAAAAGGGTCACGAAGGAAAACTACTCTAAAGATATTTGGGGGCGGAACCCAATTCGCATAACAACAATTCTTCATTGAAATAATCATACTCCACGCATGAGAAGTAACAAGACTAAAATGAAATACGAGAGGACTTAACGAACCAAAACATGCTTGAAAACAATACAACTGATACTTTGAAATAGATAAGATTATAAACTTGTAACGCTTCGAACGGACTACTTATTAACATATGCACGAGGGAAATAATTCTTTGATTGCAGCCTACGTCACGCTAATTAAAATTCAGGCTTAAAGTAGAAGTCCGCCATGTTGGTGGTGTGACACTCGTGAATTGGCAAGTAAAAACCATTGTTTCTGCTTTGTAATTCGAAAAATTTAACGGTAATGCCTTATATGTGTGTCGTCAAAGGGTGCAATCACAATTCTAAATCCCACAAAGGTATTTGTGGATTCTATAGAATACCTCGTGTAAAAGAAAATGAAAACGAGGAAACAAAAAAGTTGCAGGAGGATAGGAGACGGCAATGGATACAGAATATTTATAGACGGGATTTAGAGAAGATAAATCTAAACAATACTCGTGTCTGTGGACATCATTTTGTCTCAGGTAATTTTTGTATTCTGGTACTCATTCAAATTTCCTTTTGATAGTTAAATCATGAAAACGAGTGTGCTTCGACAAAATAGGGTCGCCATCAGCTCTATACGACTGCACTAATCCAGACTGGGCACCTACTCAGAATATGGGCCATGATAACATAGTTCCTGAGAATGTGGGTAATGCTATGTCGAAATACAAACGAGCTAACAAGAAACAAGCTGCATCGAAGAAAAGAAAAACGTCATGTTCAGCAACCTCTTCAACTGCAGCTGCTTCTGAGGTTTTTTCTGCAAGTGCCAGCTTTGTGGATGCTAGAGGAAATACTAGCGCTGAAGGTTTGCGCAATAATGTTCATTTGATAAAACTCTTATATTTCAACGCCAGTAGGGGAGTTAACACAATGAACCAAGGCACGTCCAGATAGTGAAAGGCTTTAATCGCAACAGGGGAACTAGACTCCGAACGAGTAACAAACAATATATGGCAGACGCGACGAGGAGGAAAAACCTTCAAAAGGGCATGCTCAACCCAGATACCGCTGACCGGTACTGGCGTGACTTCTTTCATCTTTTTTTTTTTTTTTTTTTTTTTTTTTAAGGAGAAACAAGAACTAAAAACAAGTTAACATACACTTAAGACTAACTAACAAATTGACACGCGCGGGCGAGTCAAAGTTCAGAGTTTAAAGATCGGTGTTCAAAGTTCAGTGTCATAATCTGCAAAACGAGAAGGAGGACGGGCGGGTGCGCGATGATCTCCGTGGGGCAGGCGGAGAAGGCACCGCTGAGGCGGCTGCATACCCACTGGGGAAGGATCAGGGCAGGGCGACTGTGTAGCGAAATCATCCATGGTATGGTCAACGGGAGAGGCAGGGGCTGGACTGTAAGACTGAGGGTTGACAACTGGTGGGTGTGTGGAAGCTGCGATGGCCTCAGGGATGGCAGGCAAAGAGGGGGAGGGTGAGTCGTTGTAGTAGGACCATCTTCGTCGTCGGAATCAGAGTAGTGTTTGCGTAGGGTCGGAGAGGCACGGAAGGGATCACCCAAGTCAGATGGGACCTTGAAGCACTCAGATAGCTTGACATGGTACGATGAACTTCGCAACTGGGATCCAATGAACTTTTGTTGTTGCAGAATGGAGGATCAATGGCTACAACGAGATAGCGGTCACGAGCACGAGACTTGTTGAGGTCAGAATGGAGGTACACAAGATCACCAATATCGATCAGGGGGGTAGGGCGCCTTGACTGACCAGGAGCTTTGGAACGTTCACTGAGGGGATGGTTGGAGAGACGCTGTTCATGCTGGAGGGAAATTATGTGGTCATCTGCGGGGGGTAACTGCTTGTTTGAGAACTGATCCCGCTGGGTCCACATTTCTCGAGAGGAAAGCCCTCTTGAACGGATACGTGAGTTTAAGGCTGAAGTGGCTAGGGCGAGGGTGAGGGGAGAGACAGAACTACCGAGAGGCTCCTGACGTAACAGCTCATTCTCCAATTCCTGGACCGCTCTCTCTGCAACGGGTTCTTGTTGGGATTTTTGGCATGGCCAAGCTCAATTGTGATTCTGTGTTTCTGTAAGAGTGAATCATTGACAAGGGCCTTGAATCCGGGAGCGGGTCGGTGCGGATCACAGCAGGTGGACCATCCATTGGGCGCATTTCACGCAAAGCTTTATAATGGCATCACGCAAAGTTTGGTGGCGTTCGTTCTCAAGAAAGAGACTGGACGTGTAAGAGGTCACTGTTTCACAGAGTACAAAGATAAGTTGGCGAGAACGTTTTATGACATCTGCCGCAAAGGACTGCCCAACAGTTTCAGGTGGAGGCGAAGTGGACTGGTCAATTCGTGCTGTTGGTGATCTCTGAATTGCTGCACAGGAGTGGCATCCATCGGAAACACGGGAGACTGCCTTGTCCAGGTCGAGGGCGAACAGATAACGCTTGGCAACCATTTTTAACTGGTGACAAGAAGGGTGGCTGAGCTGAATGTGAAGGGCTGTCAAGAGGCCATCCAAGGCCTGGCGAGGGACAATGATACACTCTCTGGTCGGTGACAAGGGATCATGACGTTGGACGACGAGCAGGCCATCACTTGCGATTGAGGCGACCTGCAGATAGCGTTTGACGTCCTTTATGTTTGTGAGCTTCTTGGAAGGTCTTGTGCCTTGGACAAGGTGTGCGTGCGTGCGGACAGCGTAGGTCTGGGCATTCAGACTGTATGGCCAACCACGCCGGACGGCTGGTGAAAGGGAGGCGGGCATTGCCTTGGAGGATGTCCTGGACAGTCGCGGCTCGGACAACAGAATCTCTGGTTGAGGCGATAAACAGGCAAATCTGACAGGTTTCATTCTCACAAGGAGCAGCATTTCGACTCGCGAAGTCTGACTGGAGGATAGAGGCGCCGGAGACGTGTCGCACTGAGGCCTGGTAGCGGCTGACAACTGACAGGAAAGTAGATACGCGAGGACTTGCGGAGAACTCGCCAGCGGCATAGCTTCTCATAAGCCTGGGACGCATGGCTTACTGTCCGTTAGGATACAGGCTTTATTGGATGACTGGATGAGGTATGGACTGAAGTGCTTTGTAGCCGCAGCGATGGAGAGGGCTTCTACGCGCACGGAAACCACGTTGTCTGAGTGCCCCGCAGCTTAGCGCTGAAAAAACCGGCGATGTGTAGCTTGTTGTTGCGGCGTCACATAGAGGGTGGCGCCTATTCCTGGGTCCTTGACTGCGCCATCGGTGACGACCCATAGTTGGTCCTCAGGTCTAGGTAAGGTGATAGAGAGGGCTGAGGATAGGGCCTTCTGAGCGTTCTGGAATGCAGCCCTGAGACTATCAGACCAGGTGATGGATTCTTGTGAAGTACGTCCAGCCGTGATGGCATCCAGCGGGGTTAGATAACTAGAGCACCGTGGGATAACACGAGACAGGACTTTGTACGCACCAATGAACGATCTCAAACGACCAACAGTGTTTGGCACAGGGTACGTGGCAAGGGTGTTGAGGCGGTGGGCACTGGCAGACAGGGTACCGGCGGACCAAATCCAACCAAGGATAGTGGTTGACTTGGGGTTGATTATGGTCTTGTGGGCTGACAAACGCAGGTTGCATTTGTGAAGAGCTTGCAGGACCCTCTTCCAGTTGTGTAGTAACTCTAGAGGGGTGTTGCCCCCGCAGTATAAATCATCGGCGATCTTGGCCACGACTCCATCTTGAAGTAAGGGGCCTAGAACACGGCACATAACCTCCTCTAGAGCAGTCTCTGAGCCAGGCATTCCCATAGCGGAGCGGGCATACACCCGGACGCCTTTAAAGGGGGTGGCGACACCGCAGTACTTCATGGACTCTTTGGCTAAAGGGATCTGGTAGAAAGCACTTGTAAGGTCAGTGACAATTATGTGTGACCATTGGGCGATGAGCCGTAATGTGGAGTCAACATCGGGTAGCAAGGATGGTTGTGGTTTGCTGTATCTGCCCACATCAGAAAAGGCGGTGACGAGACGGGAACCACCATTAGGCTTCTTTACAAGGAAAGATGGATTGAGGTATTCAATGGTGATACCCACATCTTGGGCGGCGGAAGACGCCAAGAATCTCTAGGTCGTCAAACTTTTCCTGGAGCTCGATGAGCTTATCCCGCATGATTTGGGGAGGCGACCCTTCCGCTGAGGAGGTTCGACAGGACCCATGTTGACTTTGGCCTTGTATGCGCGCCAGCGGCTCCATTGTATCCGGGAATTGCGGGTCAAATACAGTGTCGTACTCTGTAAGTAGTGATTGGAAGTCTGCACGAACGGTTTGGGGAAGGGTGTTGTCTGGATCAACCTGAACGGACGCAGAGTAACGTGTACTGGAGGGCGGCAACGGGCGCTGAGCAGTAGGTGGGGGTGATGATGGGACTTGGGGGCTCAAAAACAGGGATGACTTGGCAGAAGTGTTCGTGGCGCTTTGAGAGTGCGGGGTACGCTTGATAGGTTAGGAACTGTATGGCTCGGGCAACGCTGGAAACAACACCAGGTTGTGGCCACAACTGGGATGGCTTCAGATTGTGTGCACTGGGTGCGTCGATGCGAGGCTCTAGTGCGCACTCCGAGTCAGAAGGTGCATCGCCTGGTAGACGTACTTCCATGAACTCTCCAGGCCACACTGTCTGGGATGGGCGGGGGCACGTGGGACAAATGCTCTACGTGCGGTTGCATGAGGGTTAGGTGGGGATTTGGACCCATACGTGTAGACTGAGCCATTGCCTAGTAGTACCTCTCTCTTAGCGGGTCGGACAGCGATGTCATTCGTCTCCATAAAGGGGGGTACCGGCAAGTACCTCAACATCAAGATTCTCAACTACGAGACCTTCAAACGCGAAGTTTGTGTGGTCCCGGGTGAAGGTGGTACGAATTTCTCCTATCACCTGGAGCTGAGACGAGCCATCAGCCTGTTGGACGGACTGGGCACTTGAGATTATCGGACAGCCGAGGTGTTTCGCGGTTGAACGGCGTATCATATTTCCAGTTGCACCGCTGTCGAGGGTGACGCGCACGACTCGATGATCATGAAAGACGTCCATGTAAGGGGACTGGCGGGTCTGCACACGGTAGGCCACCATGTCCGGGCCTGGCAATGTTGTGTCAGGGTCTGGAGAATCAGAATCAGGACTGGTCTCAATTTCTTGGTCATTGTCAAGGATGCCGGCGATCTGTCGTGCTTTCACCATGAAACGCCTGTCACTGTCGGGGAGGAAGGTACACTGACTGAGGAAGTGGTTTGTCATAGAACGGCCAGCCTGTTTACATAGAGGACAGACCTTGTCTTGGCGGGGTTGTCTGGGGCGGGCTCTAGGAACACCCCTGTTACTCTGACGAGGGCGACGAAAATCGTCTGCAACAGCAGCACGTAGGATTCTGGCATCATCCGACGTGTGGATTTCCTCAAGTAAGGAATTGAGGGCCTGCGAGATCTCAGGTTTGATCGAGGCAAGAGTACGGGATCTCAACTCTGTACCATAACGCTGCTTAACCAGTCGTGGGAGACTGGGGTGAATGAGGCGTAACCAAGTGAGGACCAAAAAGTTTTCGAGTGTAGGGGTTAATTCCTCATCCTCCTGCACTGCTTGGCCATTGTGGGTTAAGCCGTTGGCACGTAGCAATGAATCTTCTACGAATGCTGTGAGGCGCTGGTACAGATCTTCGGGGCGCTCATCAGCAGCTAGGTGTATTGCGGAAAAGTCAATGAACTGAACCCCGGTGACTTGGAAACCAAAGTGCTGTCTGATGGTTTGCCAGATGAACTCAGGGGATGTAGAGTTTTTCACCAGAGTATTTCGAGAGATAATTGGACAATAGTTGGCGATCTGTCCTAACATCAGCTCGAGGAAGTTAACCTTTTGGCGGGCTGTCAGGCAACGAGCTAATGGCACTGATTCGCCATCGTTGTGGAGACCTCGAAGCGGCTGACCCCTGGTCTTTTTTAACCATGTGAATCCATCTGCGAGGAAGGGGGCGAAGTTGCTGTCCAAAGAAAGAGTGTAAATGAGGTTTTGCTTCCAGTTTTCAAAGGAATTGATAGATTCCACTTTGGAGAGGCACCACTGCTTCGGTGCACGGTGTGTTGCAGCCATATTTCACGTTTAGGGCTCTGGAACGTGTTGACACGGCGAAGGATACACTGTTTTGGCTCACGTGGACGAGGCGAGAAATAGCCTTCTTCGGCGAAAATATGGCCTGGGTAGAACCGAACACTGCCACCACGCCAGTAGGGGAGTTAACACAATGAACCAAGGCACGTCCAGATAGTGAAAGGCTTTAATCGCAACAGGGGAACTAGACTCCGAACGAGTAACAAACAATATATGGCAGACGCGACGAGGAGGAAAAACTGTCAAAAGGGCATGCTCAACCCAGATACCGCTGACCGGTACTGGCGCAATACATATATATTTGAATGTTTTTCATTTATTTCAGCTGAGGCTATAGAAATTGAGGATGTGGATGTGGATCCCCAGACCAAAGGCTGTCAAACTGATAATTGTCTTGTGGTTGACAGGTCATGTCAAACAGGTATGACTTTGGCAGATTTTGATCCTCAACATGGGTACATCCAATCCATTACTACTGAGCTCCACGACTGGACAAAAAACTGCCTTGCAGTTGCAAATTTCTCGGAATGGATTTAAAGATAATGATCAGAAAACAAAATTTTACTCGGGTTTACCCAGTTATTTAATGCTGATTCATGTTTTCAACCTGTTGACTCCTAAGATATCAACAACTCCAATGAATGCACTGTGTCAGTTTCAAGAGTTTTTGTTGGTACTGATGAGACTTAAACTAAATCTACCTTTTCAAGATTTAGCATACCGTTTTGGAGTTTCGGCATCAAGTGCTACAAGAATCTTCTATCGGTGGATACCTATAATGAGTGAGCGGCTTGACTTTCTTATCAAATGGCCTGACGGGGAGAATTTAAGAAAGACAATGCCTTTGGTTTTCAAACAAAACTTTGGCAACAAGGTAGCAGTAATAATTGATTGCTTTGAGGTATTTATAGACCGGCCATCTAGCTTGATTGCTCGAGCAATGACATGGTCCAACTATAAACACCACAACATAGTTAAATTTCTTATTGGAATCACTCCCCAAGGAGTAATATCATTTATCTCTAAAGCCTGGGGGAGCAGAGTTAGTGATAAATACCTAACAGAAAATAGTGGCATCCTAAAAAACTTGTTACCAGGAGACATTGTGCTTGCGGACAGGGGGTTTGACGTTGCTGACAGTGTTGGATTTCATGGAGCAAGACTATATATTCCTGCCTTCACTAAAGGCAAGAAACAATTGTCTGCTCTGGAGGTTGAGCAAACGAGAAAACTGGCAAATGTAAGAATTCGTGTGGAGCGTGTGATTGGGCTTGTCAGGAGAAAATTTACTATTTTGCAAAGCACACTTCCAATTGAGAGCATAACAGCAAAGCAAGGAGAGCCACTTGCTCCCATAGACCACATTGCTACCGTCTGCTGTGCCTTAACTAATTTATCAGACTCAATTGTAAGCTGATGATGATTTATACAGTCTATATGAATATATGTATAGATATGACTTTGAATTATATTTTTAAAATATTTTCATATTAATCAATTTTTGATGTTATTTTTATTATACTATTAATTTGTTTAAATATAATTCAAAGTTATATTGGTCGACCTGAATTAGTATCAAGCACTTTGTATGTATTTTTAATTGTATTATTCTATTGTAGATACATGTATATATTCATCTTTAAAAAGAGAAGACTTTTCTGGATTCTAATATATTTATTTTTTATGATAGATGTAGTAGCATTTTAATTTAGTACAATAAGTTAGAATAATATATAAAAATTAATAATTGCAATAAATATATTAGAATCCAGAAAAGTCTTCTCTTGTTAAATTAATATGCCTTGAAAATTAAAACACTGATTGTAGATTAAGCACTATATTACAGAAATAATCAGAGCACCACATTATTTACATAATCAATTATTTACATATATTTACGTCTTTATGGCTTGCTGAAACACTGAGGGCACAACCATTTATCCTGTGGGATCTCTTTCAGCTGCACACAACTAGGATGATACCATTTAATTTTGTAGTTCATATTGTCACATCGTATCAGAGTACTGTCTTCAATCAGTTGCTGGCAAATACACCAATAGGCGTCATCATCATCTGAAGATGGAAGGTTCTTTGAACATGGAACAAGAGCTCTTGTGTACCTCTTTCCCATTATTTCTGGAAGAATTCCATTAACAAAAAATTCCCTTGCTTCTCTTGTTGCAATAGTCCAAAAGTTAGGATCTGGTGCTATCCTTTCAACAAATAGTTGTCCAAACAATAAAGTCACAAAATTCAACATCACAGATGTGCAATTGAGCTTGTACTTGATAGTAGTAGGCATGCTTTTTGTCCAATGTAATACAAGCATCCCCGGCAGATTGTTTCAAACAGAAATTTTTAATTGTAGCAGCTGCATCAAGATGATGGACATCACGTGCTTTGTAGGGGCACTTTACTTCGCAAATGCCTGATCCACAACACTTGCAACTAACCATGCCATCTGGTGATGCCCCCATAAAAGGCCACTGTAGATTTACGTGGAAACCACTGTCTGACAAAGTAAAGTCTTCGTGATTTGCTTCTATTTCCCCCAC